CGGCCGGCCCCTCCCGAGGCCCGGAATGGTACCGTCCCGGGCCCCTGATTGGCCGGCGGCGCGGGGGCGTGGCCTCCGGAGCCTGGTTCGGCGCGCCGGAGCCCGCTCTCCGCAGTGCGAGTCGGGCCGGGAGCGGAAGCCATGGTGAGTAGCGGTCGCGCGAAGCGGCGGAGGCCCAGGCCGCGCTGGAGGCCCAGGCCGGGCCCTGGGCGCCGTCGGGGTCCGCCCTGGGAGCGGGGTGAAGGGAACGCAGGGGTCTCGCTTACGCTCCCGTCCCGGCTCCCGTTCCAGGTGCTGCTGCACGTGCTGTTCGAGCACGCGGTCGGCTACGCGCTGCTGGCGCTGAAGGAGGTGGAGGAGATCAGTCTGCTGCTGCCGCAGGTGGGCGGGATCGGTGGTCTTCCCCGTCCGCGCAGCAGCAGCCCCCCTGACCGCGCGGGCCCCGGCATGCACCGCGCGCTCCCACGTGGCCGGCCGCCCGTCGGGTGGGGGGTGCGCTGCGCCCGAAAGCTCCAGAGCCCCGGGTCCTTCGCCTGGATTCAGGGGTTAGCATCGCCATCGGGGCGTTTGGATTAAGCCTCCAGGGGCTGCCTGTACTGATGAGTCGCCGGCCCGCTCTTGGTTCCTTTTGCCATCGCTTGGTTGGTTAGGTGCGTCCGGGGCTGAGAAGCGCCGCTCTACTACGCCCTAGAGGCAGGAGGTAGGGACGGAAACGCTCATCCCCCTCCTCTTCCCCCAGGTGGAGGAGTGCGTACTCAGCTTGGGCAAGTTCCACAACATCGTTCGTCTCGTGGCCTTTTGTCCCTTTGCCTCGTCCCAGGTTGCCTTAGAAAATGCCAATGCTGTGTCTGAAGGTGAGTCTACTACCCGCATGTATTTTGGGGGGGGGGATCCACCCGCATATATTTTAGGGGAGATGAGCGATTTAGTTCGTGCTAGGAAGCTTGTTGGTAGCATTGTCTGTTTTGGCTATTTTGTGGTGAATCTGCTATGTGCTGGGAGGTAGTTGATGTGTACAGACTATGACTTAAAATAGGTTACGGTAGGCTAAATGCTTCCTCGGTGTACAGTCCAGAATGCAGGCTTTATTTCTTTGTAGACACTCGTGATTAATAAACGTAGGGGTGGGGAGCTAATGCTAAACCCAGCCAAGTGTGGTACTCTGCTCCTTTGTCCCATTTAAAAGGGCAATTTTGATGCAGACAAGCCAAGAGAAAGGTTTGCGCCTAGAAAGCAACGCTTGTGCTATTGGCCTAAGGTCTGTTCCTCCTGTGGTTGATGCAGGCTTTGCAGTGATGACTTGATTCTGTCAATCCCCTGAGTGCAATCGCTGATGTCACCATGTCTCTGAGCAAAGCCTGGAGGGAGGGGTTTGGGCAGGCCATCCCATCATGCTGTGCAGGACTGAGTGTGACTGCCTCTTAGTAAGCCCTTGAGGGAACAGGGTCTTTGTTAGGCTTTACCATCCCTCAGCATGTTAATGGGACCTCTGTTCTTTGTCCTGAGGTGTTGTTCATGAGGACCTCCGCCTACTTTTGGAGACCCACCTGCCATCCAAAAAGAAAAAAGTACTCTTGGGGGTGGGGGATCCTAAGATTGGTGCTGCTATCCAGGAGGAGTTGGGATACAACTGCCAGACTGGAGGTGTGATAGCCGAGATCCTGCGAGGTGAGATCATCTGTTAATGTTCTTGACATCTTTTCAGGTTTTCTGGGAACTTTTAGTAGGGTGCTTCTGCGAAGCCATCTGGCTTGATGGGTGCCGCTGAGGCAGAAGCTTGCTCACAGTCCTCCCTTTTTCAGGAGTCCGCCTGCACTTCCACAACCTGGTAAAGGGCCTGACCGATCTCTCTGCTTGTAAAGCCCAGCTGGGCTTGGGACACAGCTATTCTCGTGCCAAAGTGAAGTTTAATGTGAACCGAGTGGACAATATGATCATCCAGTCTATTAGCCTTCTGGACCAGCTGGATAAGGACATCAATACCTTCTCTATGCGGGTCAGGTAAGGTCCAGGGGTGAATCCTGAGGGTGGGGCTGGACCTCCTGGTGCTTACCACAGGCTGTGTTCTCTACACTGACTGTATAGATAGAGGAGGCAAAGTAATCCCACCCCATATACACCCCAGTCCAGGCCCCTTGCCTGGCCTGTATTGTGAATGGGGGAACATACTATTGAGGGGGTTGAAAATCTAACTTGTTCCCATTTCCTCTGGGCTACATGTGGAGAGAATTAAAACTGTAGTTGCATTTGAATCAAGACAGTTGGGCCAACAGTGATCATGGTTCTTCACAGGGAATGGTATGGGTACCACTTTCCTGAGCTGGTGAAGATCATCAACGACAACGCTACGTATTGCCGCCTTGCTCAGTTCATTGGAAATCGAAGGGAACTCAATGAAGAAAAGTTGGAGAAGCTGGAGGAGCTGACGATGGATGGGGCCAAGGCTAAGGCTATTCTGGATGCCTCGCGGTCCTCCATGGGTGAGCACAGACCTTAGTAACCAAAATAAGTCACGCAGGTCTGACTGTCTGACCCGCCTTGTTCACATTTCGTATTCCTAGGTATGGACATATCCGCCATCGACTTGATAAACATCGAGAGCTTCTCCAGTCGAGTAGTATCTTTGTCAGAATATCGCCAGAGCCTACACACTTACCTGCGATCCAAGATGAGCCAAGTAGCCCCCAGCCTGTCAGCCCTGATTGGGGAAGCGGTGCGTTGTAGGGTTAAGGAGTGTTCCATATGTGCCTTGTTATTTCCTCAACCACCACCACCTCCTGTTTGGGTTCGGTGGGGGAGAGATGTAGAGGGTTCTGTGAGTTAGTAGTGTCAGCTTCTCTGACTTGTTCCTTGATTCTCTCTCCAGGTAGGTGCACGTCTCATTGCTCATGCTGGCAGTCTCACCAACCTCGCCAAGTATCCGGCATCCACAGTGCAGATCCTTGGGGCTGAAAAGGCCCTGTTCAGGTACCAGGGAGGGCACCTGCCCATTCAGGTGCCACTTCTGGTGCCCACTGCTTGTTTGGGGATCACAGTGATGGCTGACCAGGGCTCCCTGACCTATACAGGCCTCTGCTATGGGGTGATGGCCAGTCCTGGTGTCTGAGTGGTTCCCAGGGCCCAGCAAAGGGACCAAGTTTCCAGGTCAGCGACATTGGATGCCTTCCCTCTGCCTCTGGGGGCTGTGGGTTGGCATGAGGTGGGGTAAAGACCCTGCCTGGCCTGATCTGACTTGAAACTGGGAGGGAAAGGAGCTGCCTTGGCTGTTAGTCGAAATTTTCCTAATCTTAAACTCTGCACTGAATATTCTTCTCCCAGAGCTCTGAAGACAAGGGGTAACACCCCAAAATATGGACTCATTTTCCACTCCACCTTCATTGGTCGAGCAGCTGCTAAGAACAAAGGCCGCATCTCCAGATACCTGGCAAACAAATGCAGTATTGCCTCCCGAATCGATTGCTTCTCTGGTATGGGTGGGAGTGTTGGCATTTGTGCGAAGGGGCTGGGAGAGCAGGGAGGCAGAGTGCCTTGGCTTCTACAATGATGTCAGTATTTTTCGTCAACAGCAGTTCACCTAGTGAGTGTTGATATGTTGGGTCTGAGTGAAGCTGAGGTTAGAGAAGATACTGGCTTTGGGGGAGTGGTCATTTGTCCTTTAGGGGCTGCTGACAAGCTTTGTCTATCCCTACACACACACATCCAGAGGTACCCACAAGTGTATTTGGGGAGAAGCTTCGAGAGCAAGTTGAGGAGCGACTGTCCTTCTATGAGACTGGAGAGATCCCACGGAAGAATCTAGATGTCATGAAGGAGGCGATGGTTCAGGTCAGTTTGGGCTTTGCTAGATGGGAGAGGCAGGTAGCTGCTTGTTGGAGGTGATGAAGTATCTTGCTAGCCTGACTTTGTGGAGTGGAGGCAAAAAAACTGATTTAATGAGCCTGATCCAATAAAGCCAGAAAGGAGGCTTGGAGAGCCAGAGGTCTTCAGAGCCTTTTCAGTACTTTTCTTTGGCCAGGCAGAGGAAGCGGCTGCTGAGATTACTAGAAAGCTGGAGAAACAAGAGAAGAAACGCTTGAAGAAGGAAAAGAAACGACTGGCTGCGATGGCCCTCGCATCCCCGGAAAACAGCAGCAGCACCCCGGAGGAGTTGGAGGTCAGTTGGCAGGTTGGCCCCGGGTGAAGGTCCCAGCTTGTGGGCCTCTCACAGGAGGACAGAGGGTGTGCTGTGTCCAGCCATGCATCCATCCCCACTTGTGGGCTGAAGGGAGGACCTGCAACCTCTTAAAACTATCGCGATTCTATAGGAAGGAGACAGGTGCTGAGAGAACTTGCTCAAGAGCCGAGAGCTGGTTGTAGCACAACCCCATTCCCTGGGCCAGTGTTTCCTCAGCTGCTTGCCAGGAGTCTTCAACGGGGAGTAATGTTAAATCTCCTTATTCTGATGTGTCCCCTCTTCGCAGTGGGGATGAGGCAGTGTTCTGAGCCACAGCCCTCCTCCAGTGTTTAAATCGTGCCAGCTTGATGGGCTTAGTTAAAATTACATGTTCTTCCTCCTAAGTGACAGTCACATTTGGGGTAGATTTCCAGAATTAACATGTGTAGAATCACAAGTTTTCCCCCAACTGCTGGGTCACTTTTTTTTTTTCAAGATTTATTTATTCATACAGAACTGGGGTGCAGGCCAGAGACATGGAGGGCGAGAGACTTCACCATAGACAGAGCGGAGAGCAGAACAGGCAGATCTATGAAGTACACTGCTGAGGGGAGCAGCAGGCGGGTCAGGAGAGGTCTGCCACGCCATGTGGTCACCTCCCAGGCAGGCAGGAATCGAACTCATGTGGAAGTGGCTTAAGCTTCTTAGTGCAGTGCTTTAACCTGCTGCGCCACCAGGGAGGGCCCTGCTGGGTCATTTTTAACAGCATTTCCAAAAGTTTCTGCCACGGCGATTTTAAGTTGCTGGAATTTGAGGAGGGGAGGGCTCACACAGTGGGTGACACTGCTCTTGTGCCCTTTCCTTCCCCTTTAGGAGATAAATGAAAAACCCAAAAAGAAGAAAAAGCAAAAGGTACAGGAAACTCCTCAGGAGAACGGCATGGAAGACACACCTGTCTCCTCCAAACCCAAGAAAAAGAAAACTTCCAAGGAGGAGCTAGTCGGTAGTGATGTTGAAGAGACAGCTGGCAGTACAAATCTTCCCAAGAGGAAGAAATCTTTCTCCAAAGAGTCACCTGTAAGTGACCAGGAAGAGGCAGGAAACAGAGTTGTGTCTAAGAAAAAGAGGAAATTCTCTTCCAGGGAGGAGCCACTCAGCAGTGGACCTGAAGAGGCTGCCAGCAGCAAAAGTAACAGCTCCAAGAAAAAGAAAAAGTCCAAAGTATCCCAGGAAGATTAACAGGGACATTTTCCCCATATGGGGTGTAACCCATGGTGACATTTCCCACCCATCCCCTATACCCCAATAAAAACCAAAAACTGGTGCGCTCTTAAGATATATTTTATTACACGGGTGTGGGTGGGACCTAAGGGAGGGCCAGAGCATCAATGACGGCCTCAGTGAAGTCGTGGCAGGTGGCGTAGCCACCCATGTCAGAAGTTCGAACCTGTAGGGGAGAATTGTCATCATCCCTGTGGCCTAGGCCCTGCCCTAACAGCCACCCCCGCCACCAGCAGTCCCCTAGGAAGCCAGCCCCAGGACAACCTAGGCTCTGCCCAGGTGAGATTGTGGTTTAGGGTTAAGGGCTCTTCTCTGGCTGGTCCACTGTACTGGGATGTGTAGGTAGTATGGTCCTTGTGAGGTTGGAAGGGGGGGAAGGGTTCTAGCCCCCATGGGGGTGCAGATGGCCGATGACGGACTTGATGAAGTCAGTTGTGGTGCTGTAGCCGCCCATGTCTCGAGTCCGAACCTATAGCGGCCACCGGCAACAGTGGTGGGGAAGAAAAGAGAACCCATGAAGGGAGGCAGGACAGCAATAATGGAGGAAATGGAGTCCAAGACAGGTGGTGAGGCCAGAAAGAAGACAGCAGAGATGGAGGAGGGGCCAGGTTCGAAAGCCTGTCCTGAGCCACAGCCACTGTTCGCTATGCTGAGCCTGGGCAGGACAGTGCACAGCAGACGTGAGATGGTAGATGAGACAGGAGGACTTCAGGAAGTTGGAGCCAGAGGGATGAAGATGAGGGGAATGCAGATGGCTATGAGGGGAGAAGGTGACACCAGTGCCTCAGCCAGCCTGACACCTCCCTCTGCTCCACTCCCCCTTAACTATTCCCCACTCCCAATTCCCCAATACTTAGAATTGCAATCTCTGCAATAAGACCGCCTAAAAAGGGCCAAAGAATGGAGCAGGAAAGGGAAGAGCAGATGGGAAATAAGATGCAAAGGAGATGAAGAGGACAGGACAGCCAAGAGGGAGATGGACAGCCAGCCCTGAAAGCCAAGTGAGGGAGGAGGGAACCTGGATGGAGGAAGGCCCCAACTCGGGTTCCCAGAGTAGTGCCAAGGCCCTAAACCCAGAGCGTTTCAGACTCACCTTGCCAACTTTGATCACTTTCTTCACAGCATCTGCAATCATGTTGGAGTGATACTCGAGACTGTGAACAAAGCAGAAGCTGAGCTCTCCCCCCACACCTTCACACTCCCTCACCACCAGTGCCTCCCCCAGGCGTCGGGCCCCCTCCCGAACCATGACCTACTTGAGATGCCGCAGCATGTTGGAAGCTGACAGCAACATGGCTGTGGGGTTGGCAATATTCCTGCCCACTGCCTGGGCAAAAGGGTGCCGAGCGCCCTGTGGAGAGGGGCAAGCCAGAGTCACTAAGGGCAGACAAGTAGGAAAGAGCATATGGGTGGGAAGGCAGGTCAGGGCCACCGCTAAAAGGTGGGGAAGCAGAGCAGGCAAGGTCACAAAGGAAGAGTGAGAACTCTTCAGGGAGCACTGATGTCAGAAGGCACAGAGAAGGGGGGGCGGGAATCGTCACTCACCGTCTCAAAGACAGCATACTCTGCGCTGTAGCTCTCCCCAGGGACCACGCCCGCGCCCCCAACCAGGCCAGCAGCAAGATTGTCAATAATGTTGCCATACAAATTGGGCATCACAAGAACATCAAATTGGTAAGGGTTCTGCACCAGCTAGAGGGCGAGAGGCAGACACGAGATGTGAACTTGACCCCCCCCCACTCCCTGTGCGCCATGAAAGTGCAGACATGAGGGCCTCACCTGCATGCAGCAGTTGTCTATGATCATTGTCTCAAACTTAATTTTGGGGTACAGTTCAGCGACTTCTTCACAGCACTGCAGGAATAGCCCATCCCCAAGTTTCCTGTCGATGGACCAAATGAACAATTCAGTCAACAGAGCAGAAGCAGGCTACCTTCCCAGGAACCTACCACACAGGAAGCCAAGTCCCTCACATGATGTTGGCTTTGTGGACGGCTGTGACTTTGCCCCGCCCCTTCTTAGTGGCATAGTCAAAAGCAAACTTTGCAATCCGCTGAGATTTTGTTCGAGTGACAATCTTCAAGCATTCAATCACGCCCCTTGCACTCTGGGGAGAATAAAGCAGCAGCCGGTAACATTGGAAAGAAAGGAAGAAACTAAGCCTCACACCTACCTCTACCCCTGCCGACCCCAATTTCTGAGGCCTTACCTCATGTTCCAGAGAGCTATACTCGCCTTCCGTCTGCTCCCGAATAATCACCAGATCTAGATTGTTGTGTCGAGTCATGTACCCAGGAAGTGACTTCACATGGACCACATTAGCAAACAAGTCCAACTTACGCCTGCATGGGGGTACAGCAGAGCCATCAGCACTGTGCCTGTGCCCCAACACCCCTTTCACCCATGACCCCCACCACCTACCTCAGTCTCATATCATAGGAGGCTAGTTCTCCCTTGTACTCCATCGGAGTGTGAATCTTTCCTGCATAAATAAAGTGGGGGTGAGAGGGGTGTCAGGCACAGGTTCCCTGTGGTTTCCCATTCCATCAGGGACATAAAGTAGCCCAGACTCCCAGCTCCGACTCCCAAATCCCACTCCTAAATGCCTGGAGAGAGGAGCAGGCTGTCACTGTGGTCAGGAGCAAAGAAGAATAATGGTAAAACCAGAAATATTTGCCTATTGCTTTATTTCTAGTCACTGAAACTTGAAATAACCTAAAAGGACAGAAGATTACGTCATGTTATCAAAGAGCCTGGGTTTAAAAGATTGACAAACGATACTAGAGAATCTGTAACCTTTCTTGATGTTTCGGTGCCCACCCATTTGACATTTTTTCCAACCTATACTTACTGAAATAGCAACCAAAAAATGAAATCCTACCCTCAAAGGACAAATAATGCAATGAAGAAGACAGACATGTTAGATACCATGAGAGCGATTTAAATGATGCACAAAGGAACACAGACAAGAAAATGTTACAGAAGAACTGGTTTTTTGCCAGATCTTGGATTAAGTGGGTACAGTAAATTGAGTAATGACCCTAAAATATACTCATGCCTTAGTCCCCTTAGTATGTAAACGTTAGGAAAATGATTGCAGATATAATTTAGAGATCTTAAAATTAAACATCTTGGATTAGGATGAGGTCTAAATCAATTCTGTGGACAAGGAAAGGAAGAAAAGCATAAGTCAAGGTAATACATATATTTGGGGACCAAGACTGTCATGTTGTTACAGGGTAACCCAGAGTGAACTTGGGCTGCCTGTCTGTGGGTCCTCACCTGCACGCTTAAAATGTAATTTTCTGCAGATACACACATAATTTTGTAAATAATGGGTTTATTTACAAAAAAGGGAAAGGAAAAGGAACAACCTAGGGAAAGAGAGAGGGATACAAAGTAACTAGAATATCTTACCAGCTCTGCTAACTTGGAGCTCTACTCTCATACTAACTGCTAGTGCCCATTCCCACCATCTGAGAGCCGCTCCAGAGAGAGAACCATTACCTCTCCAGAGTGACAGTTAAAAAAACCACTCTCTATTTATCCCCCAAAGTCCCAGAATGCCTGCTTAGCTTGGGCCCTTGCAGTTCTCTCCCTGGTACTGCTGGGAGTTGGAGTTTCTAATCACTGGAGTAGGGAGTGGAATCCAGAAAGCTGGAGTAGAGGGTGGAGTCCACAAAACTGCAGAATTACTTTAGAACATCCTTCCCCTTAATAATGTGACCACAAGTGTTGTGGGAAAAAAAAGAAAAAGAAAAACTGAGGGTGCTCATAAAGGAATGGTTTACTTCTCTGCACTAAGCCTGGGATTGACAAAGTAATACTGGTGAAGACCGAAGTGTGATGGATGGCCTGCCAGGGCAGAACTGAAAGCCCTAAAATCTAGTAAGGAGACTAAATTACAGGAGTAGAAGAGATGACAGAACAGGCAGCTATAAGTGGCATTTTAGAAACACAACTAAGATTTGATGACCCACAACTCCTGGGTTCCCAAGGAAGTTCTAGGGGGTCAACATATCAATATGTGGCCAGGGAATCTTAAACCTGTGCTCACTTGATTTTAAATGACACCTGGATGCGGTAAACATACCAATGATGGCCACCTTGTTCTCCTTCATAGAACTCAACACCTGCTCCAGCTTCTCCTCAGAGGCCATATTCTGCACCTCACTCAGGTGATGTTCCTGAAACTCCACGGGGACAGAAGCAGCCTTCGGGGACAGGTACCAAAAGGCAGAAGGTCAGAGTCAAGTTAAGACACTTCCAACCCACCCCAAGGTCCCGGCTGTTTTATTCCCCCGGGGCCGCTCACTTTGAACACTTCCTTGACAGCGTGCATCAATTCAGGTCCCACGCCGTCTCCTGGGAGCATGGTCACAGGAAAGGCGCCCTCAACCTTCACGTCCTCTGCCTGCGAGAAGGCCCAGAAGAGCTAGCGCTGAAGCGGAAGCTGGGGTGGGAGGATTGAGGTGGGGAAGATGCCAGGGGAGCTGGGGACAGAGACCTGGGCCAGAACGCAGCTGGATTTGCACTAACCTGGCTCCGCGAGGCGGCGTGGGCCACGGGGGAGGTACACAGACTCCTCCATGGTCCGGGGTTCGGGGCCGCGAACAGGGCCTGGGACAGTGACACACAAACCTGTGAGGTCGGGGCTGGGACCTTCCACACCCCGAATATTGGCTGTGAACCTGGTTCAAACCCGCCGCTCCAGCTCCCGCGCCCGCCCCCTCCCGACCTGCCCCCGGCCTCACTCGGGTCAGCCAGCGGACGCCGCAGAGGGCAGCCATCTTCTTCTCAAGAAGTCGCGGCGGACGTGACGTCAGGCGGGCGCGGCCGGGCACCTTGACTTCCTGCAGGTCTCTGGGGATCTATACCGTCGGCTTTTTTTTTTTTCCTTCCAAACATTATACCTCCTACTCCTTTCTTCACTTGCGCTTTTCTTTCCACTCACTGCTTCCCCTGGACGCTAACATAACACTGTTGCTTTATTTTTATTATTTTTTTAGCATAGCAGTCACCATATTTACGTTGAAACTTCAAAATAACGGGCAGTATGAGATTCTGTGTTTATCAGACGAAGACTCGAGTTTAATAGTAAATTGAGAAACACTTCTGGCAGATCTGACTTCCATGTGTTCGTATCGACGTATTTGTTACTCTTTTAACTATGCACAAATCTGAACCTAGCCGGACACCCAATGTCCGCTAGCTGATAACGATGCCGTGGGGCAGTCTGAAATAGACTAACGAAGGGTCTGGGTTGACCGGAGTGAGTAGCTGAGCCATCACTGTGTGGAGCTGTTGTGCTCTCTTCAGAAGCCGCGCGAGTTCTGCTGGCCGTCAGGTCCCGGTGGAAGGTATCTCATTGATACTGTCTGGAAATGAGGACATTAGTCAGGACACTTGCAAAGTTTCTTGGGCAGAGGAGGGAGGTTAGAATGTTAGGGATCACATGTGAGTGTTCAGTTTGATGCTGGGTGAATTAAATGGCAGCTTCCTGGGCTTTAAATTTCTCCATTACAGAGATCCGAACGTGGGGGTCCACCTAGCCCCTTACATGCCCACGAATAGAAATTAGTCTCCGTTTACTCTTTTCACTCAGCACTGTGCCTTAGAAATGAAAGATACCAGTCTTGGAGGATAAGTAGACTCATTTTAGCTTGCTGCAGTGATAGATAATGTGAATTCACTAATTTTGAGTCTTTCTGGAGTTGATGGATTTTTAAGTGGTTTCTGGCTTAAGCCACTGCCTTCAATATTGTGATGTAAAGCCTCATATAGTGTATTTTGTACACATGATAAATGTCACAGAGTGCTCCAAAAGCACCCATACCAATGTGTATGTTTCAGTTTTCAATGCGTTTTGCTTCAGTTAACAAAACCTCATTACAAATAAGAGTTGTTGGTTTGGTTCCTCATACACATACACTTATCTGAAGTTAAAGAGTCACTGAGATTGGTTTAGCTGCTTAGTGATAACCCCTGGATCCAGAAATTCTAAAACTTTCCACTCTGCCAGTCTTAGTGTATTGTCTGATATCCTCAGACTCTGGTACCTCATCCTTACAATATGGCTACCACTGCTCTTGACATCAGTTCTGCCCTCACACTGAAAAGGGGGAGAAAAGTCATATCTGTTTCTTTTTAGCAGAAGCTTTCTCAGAAACACCCTGAGCAGATTTCCATGTAGGTCTCATGGCCTGAATTATGTCAATGACTACTCCTGCTGTAAAGGAAGCTGGTAAAGAAGGGAGATTTGTCTTGATTGACCTAAACTAATTCTTCACATCTTGTTACACATTAGAATCATCTGGAGACCTTTTTGAAACTACCCATGTCTAGACCCCAGAGATTTTTATGTAATTGGTCTGGGCTGAAGCCCAAACATTGGCATTTTTTTTCAGAGCTCCTTGGATAGTCTAGAAGTTCACCACAGTTAAGAATGCTGTGGTTTACACCAGCCATGAGCCTTTATCCTAGCTGGGCATGTGTATCAGAATTAGGTTTAGCTGTGAGTGGCAATACGTATTATACTGCCCCTACCTAAACAAGAGACAGGTTTAATTCCTGCTCATATTAAAGGACAAAGGCAATTGGTTCAGGCCTGAATTGGCCTTCCATGGTGTCAGAGGTTTGGACTTTATTGATCCACCTTGCAAGCTGTCATTCCCAAGGACCCCAACAGTTATTCCAGTGCATTCCAGACAGCAAGGGAGAAGTGCCCAGCCCTTGAATGACACTTTCTGAAAGTTGCACACACCATTTCTGTGTATATCTCATGTGCTAAGGAAATGTCTTTTTTCTTCAAAATGCTTTTTTTAGAGGCCTTTTAAGATGATAAGTATATTCTCCAGTATTTTTTTCTAATGTTATGGTTTTGTGTGTTTCTACAGTTTAGGTCATTAATTTATCTGAAATATAGTTTGGGATAAGCCGAAAGGTAAATACCAAAGCCTTACCTAATTGTCCCAACATCATTAATTTTCTTTTCCTCCACATAATAAATCCTTCCTTTAATAAATCCTAAATTCCCACATAGGGTCCTCCCTAGTGGTGCAAGGGGTTAAAGTGCAGCATTATGAGGCGGTCTGCGGCCAGTGCAGCACGAATTCGATCCCGGGTCAGGGAGGTGATCAACATGGCACAGTAGACCTCTCCTGGCCTGCCTGCTGCTCCCCTCAGCAGTGTATTTTAGTAGATCTGTCTCTGTCTTTAGTGAATCCTCTTACCCCAGGGCTGGCCTGTACCCCAGTTTTTGTATGTATCAATAAATAATTCTTTAGAAAAAAAAATCCTACATAGATTTAGCCATACAAGTTTCCTTCCAAGGGAAAAGGGATAAATACACTAAGGTTGTCAGAGTACTGGGAGGGCCTGCTCCTGTACAACAGCGCCACCTGCTGGACACATCCACCAAGTACATTACTGACTTACTACCCATAGAGGCCCTTGACTCTCCAATCTGACATCTCCACTTAGGGATGGGTCAACTTGATTGGGTGGCTACCAAGAGAAGGACACAAAAGGCCTCACTAGCCAAAGGGAAATGCAATATCAAGAGCACAGCTGACCTAACCCTAAATTAGTCTACCCTTTACATGAAAGAGTAGCAAAATCTTTGTGGGAGACCTTCATTCCTCACTTCCTTTACCTGAAACAACACTGCTAGCTCAATGGAGCCCTTAGTCCACATTAGATTCCCGAGTGCCTGCCTGGTTCACTGGTGCGCAGGGGTGTCCACCTTCCACCTCGACACTAGCTCTGCAGAATCAAAAGCAGGTGGGGCATTCTACTCCTTGGGCAGAACTCAGTACAATCCTGTGTGCTGTTGCCAATGGCTTCATTGTCTTGTCTGCAAAACTGGAAGTTCAAAACGTTGGAGCTGCAAACTGTAGAAACAAATTAAAATGCCAATCAGACAGTCGGGGTCACTCATGGAGAAGCCCATGGTAAGGGCTCTTTGCTAAGAGGAACTGGAATCACTAGAGACAAGCAGCCTCACTGCCCGCGCCCATCATCACACCAGTCCATTCCACAGGCTGGACATAACAACAGTCGGCTAACAGCAGATCTCATCTGGACTGACGTGATCCTCAAGGCTGTGGGTGTGTCTCCCAGCCATGAAACCTCTCCATGTGTGTTTGGCTCACAGCCCACTGCCTCCTCTGGTTATTGACAATGACATCAAAGATCAGCAGGCTAGTGTAAAGATCGCCCGTGGGGACTCCCTGGCATTCCCACCATACCTGGCTTTCCACGATAACTGGCTCACGGAAATGAGACCTACTGATCCCCATGGGACTTGCACAAACCGACGACCGAGTCTGGGATCTGGGTGGGATGGTTGAAACTAACACCTCAGGTTGACCTCATCTTGCTGCTTGAAGTTCTTTTGATTATAGCCTTAATTAAATTCTGTGTGAACCAGTCTGAACAGATTGGCCTGCAGTCTCCATCGATCAAATTAATCAGAAGGGTGGGTGGGGTGGCTTGCTTATGTGAATATTTAAGTGTGGCCAAGAAGGCAGAGAGCTGATTGTGGAAAGAGGCAAGTTGCCAGAGGCCCTGAGTCTCCCTCCAGTTTTCAGTGGGCTCTCAGCCTGGGCTGTTTCTCAGGCCTGTGCATGCAGTGGGCAATTCAAGGGGGGAATTCTTCTCTCTCACCACGACAGAATTCGCTTACTGCCTCTCTAAGAGAGGTGGCTTCCCAGCCTCCTGACCTGCAGATGCTCCACAGACCTGTATGCATAGCACCCACAGGCTCCCATATTGCCCCTGAGGGGCTTGGTGGCAGAGGGAACTGACGCAACAGTGATGCTTTTAGCAACTTGCTGAGCTATGAGGCAGGTTCTTGTCTCTGAGGCATAAATCTCATGTCTTCCACCGAGCATCAGTGAAATAGTAACAGGTTAATCTCTTAGCTTGAAAGTAGGACAAAATTAGGTTGCCAATACCTGCACACATGCTTCTGTGAGGGGCCCCCCCTTTGTGGCATCTTTTAACGGTTACTGTCACCTCAGCCCTATCTCCAAATACATTACGAGGGAGGGGAGGGCTTCAGAGTATGAATTTCAGTCAGTCCTAACAGGTGTCCTCAGGTCTCTGTTACAGCTTGAGATGAGAGAAAACTTTGAAAGAAATGTTGACAAGAGGAGGGCGGTAGCTAACTATGGAGAAGGGTGTGGCAGATGTCTAGGGGGTTGAGAAGGGTAGAGGATGCATCAGGGCCAAGGAGAAACCAAGCATTCTGTGACAGCCACCATGTGGGGGTCACAGTGTCACGGTGAGGGACAAAAATGGGTATGAGAAACGTTAAACAAATTTTTTAAAGTTAAAATGAAAAGTAAGCACTACAAATGTTACAGGCAGGGAAAGGGGGCACCTCAGAACCCCAAATCTCCCTGCTCTGAAGAGGCTCTGCCATCTGCCACATCAAGACAAAACATGTAAGACCTTTAATGGAAAGGAACTTTAATACAATGAGTGTAATACAGAAAAGACAAAGAATATAGTTCCTAAATCAAGCACCCAGAGTAACCCATCCCTTCGTGGGTAAAAATCCACCCAAAAGGGATTGGCCCAAAGCAAGGCCTTAATGCCTGCCACAAGTCTAAAGCAACTTGGGGTGGGGGTGGGAGGGCCCAGAGAAAAGGATCAGAAATGGCAGACAAGGCTGGGAGGAAAAGAGCAAAATCGAGATAAAGGCTGCCATGGTCACCCTCCCCGGGGCTCTCACCCACGTTTCAACCAGTCCAGCCTAATGTCAAGAGCCGCGTCTTCACGCGTCTCTCTGCTCCACATGCCTCCTCCGGGCCTCCTGGCTCTCCATCCTGCTTCCT